GTAGTAGTGTAGTGTGTGTAGTGTAGTGTGTAGTGTGTGTGTGTGTGTGTGTGTGTGTGTGTGTGTGTGTGTGTGTGTGTGTGTGTGTGTGTGTGTGTGAGAGAGAGAGAGAGGTGTGAAAAAGAGAGAAATATAAATATGCTTCGCTACAAAGAAATATTCATTTCGTGGCGCCTCCTTTATAGCCATCCATTGTCGATCGCATAAAAGGCCGTAATTGTATTATAAACGATTTTTCGTTTTGTCGAATAAATTATATTGAACCAATCATATAAAAGCTATATGTAAACGCGATTCAAATTTAAAGGAGTTCGTCGCGCAATTCTGGGCTACGTTTCAAAATTCTACTCGATGAGTAGAGTGGCACTTAATTGACCAAACGGAATTAAAAAAGTCTTTATTCTTCTTGTTCTGATCGATCAATTAAATGTTATTCTGTCTATCGAGTATAATTTTATAGCCTTCGTCTATATTTTATATCTCGTTTCCCTTTCGATTTCAAATTTTCATGATACCGCAAATGTCGGTAAAACATTTTCGTTTAGAAATTTTTATTTTTTATTTTTTTATAAAATTAGAGAATCGCCTTTCAATAATTGTGAAGGATAATCTAGAAAGAAAAACGAGTATTCGTTCGAGAAATTTTTCCAAAATTTCGAAACGAACTGGTTGATATCAAAAAAGGAGATACGTGAAACCACGAGTTGGCGTGGACTATCGAATTATCTCGTCTGTCAGTTCGGTCTGCCGGTTCACGTTCCGCGTTCCTCGTATTCGCGGCGACATTCTATGAAAGAGCGGCCGGAAAAACGGGACGCGGCGCGACGGGCGATAAGCCGCAAAACGCGACGCATCCTGCAAATCGTCGCGATTCGCATTGTAATTTTGTTGAATTTGCGGCGGATATATTCGGTTTTCGACGGCCGGAAGGAGCGAGAGAAAGAGAAGCAGAAAAAAGAGAATTCGGCGTCCGACGAATCGCTCGGCATGCGCGCGCGCCTGCGCGCCGTCCCGCCCGGCCGTCCGTCGAGATGGCGGCGGAGAGGCAATGACGTCACGTCAGGCGTAGTAATACACGGGCGCGAGCGCATGGCGAGCGGAGTCCATCTGCGGAGCTGCTGCGCGAGAGACTGGGAACTGCTTTCGATTGTTGGCGGGCGCCGCCATCTTGGTCAGTGAGCCTGCGAGTGGTCTGTACGTCTCCGTGGTGCGGTGTGGCTTCGCTGTGCGTATTCCAGGCGGCCAGTTCGTCGAACGGGCAATTCCGTGCGCGCGTCACACTCCCCCGCGTGGGCCCCTCGTTATCCGTTTTACCCGTGAGAGATCCGCGCGCATCTCGAGATGTCGGAACGGGAGGACAACGTTTACAAGGCGAAACTCGCCGAGCAAGCGGAACGCTACGACGGTGAGTAGATATCTTTCTTTCCCGGCGGGGCGAAGGGGAGGAGGCCACACGGTCCAAAGCCGGTTCCGCGTACGCGAAACCGCATCGACGACATTACCGCCGCGACCCATTCGCGTCTCTCTCGCGTGTTACGCGTCAACGGGGCCTCCTCCCTCTCCCCCTCTCCCCTTCCCTTCCCTCCCGTGCAGTTGCTCGTCGATCGGGGCTTCAGCGAGGGCTTCTCGCGATCCGGCCTTTCCTCGTCGCGCGGATATCTCCGAGCATCATCGTGACTCCCTCCCCTTCCTCGTGATTTGCCGCGGGGAAACGTCCGCGCGCGATTTCTCTATCCTTATCTATCTCCCGCTCCCTCTTGGCGGATAACCTTCTCCCATCTTCTGTATCCTGTAGCCGATACCCCCGGACGCCGAGAGGCTGAGATCGCTCTCGCGGCCTATCGTAAACCTGTCAAAATCCACGGCGCGTCCGGCGAGATTCGGTGCGTCGATCGTTACGGCGTATCCGCCGTAGCCGGCGGCGTTCCTTTGTGGCGGCGCCGGACGCGATATCGACTCGTGTCATTCGCGACGGTCGATCCGGCGAGGCCCGCCCGTCCGTCCGTCCGCCCGCCCGCTCGTTCGCCTGCTCGCCCATTCGTCTGTCCGTCCGTCCGTCCGTCCATCCGTTCGCCCATTTGTCTGTCTGTATGTTTGCTCGCTCGTTCGTTCGCTCACTCGCTCGCTCGCTCGCTCGCCTACCGGAGCCTCCGATTACCAGAATCTGGAACTCGTGAGGCGAGGCGAGGCGAGACGACGCGACCGACACGCATGAGGATCATCTCGTGTGCCACCGATCATTTTTTCTCTCATGCGAATTCCGCGCTCCAATCGGCTGGCGACCGCGGCCACGCGTTGCCAAGCGTGTGCGTGCACCCGGTCCTCGGCACGGGTCCTCGCCCTCTTCGCCCCCCGCGTCTCCGGCACGATAAGCGACACAGGTCCGTACCTCTGGCGGCTGGACGACGACGGTCGTGACGCATAGACACGCCGAGGCGTCTCCGCTAATCGCCGGCGGGTTATTGCTACGGGCCGAGCGGCGGAGTACACGTAGTAACTCGCGTGTTCCGCTCGTGGCATCTGGCCTTGAAATGGCGTGTGAAGAAATCACCGACCGGGAATCCGATCGACCGAGAAAGAGAGCGAGAGACGGACATAGGGAGAGAAAGAGAGACTGGCCGACGTCCTCTTCCTCCGATCTTATCGGCGAATCGAGATTCGACACGAGAATCGCGTGGAAACCTGTAAATTCCGTTGGACCCGACGGAAACTTGATGAAAAATCGTTTCCTCTTCCTCCGCGCGAGGGAAGGAAAGCTCGAGCCTCGTAGAATCCGCTCCCAACGCGGGAAGCGTTTTTTCAGGCAAAAATGGACCCGGATGTCGATCCCTTCGCCGACTTTTTCGATCCTCTTTCGCATAGGTCCTCCCTCTCTTCCTCCCCCCCCTCTCCTCCACCTCGCCGCCCTCGCTTCCTCGCCGTGGCAGGTTAGGCGCTAACGCGCGAGGCGAATCCCCTGTGGGAATTACGAAGCAGGCGCGCGTCCGTCTTATCCTCCGGGCCTTTCGACAGCTCGGCCGGAATCACGCTGGGCCTTCGAGACACCGACAACGATGACGATGACGATGACGATCCGATTCGATCCGATCCGATCCGATCCGATCGATCTCCCCACGTTCCCCGATATCGACGCGACCTCGCGGACGTGCCGCGATTATCGAGCGTCGGCACACGCCGGCCAGGAACTTTTTCGATCGATCGCGTCCGCAAGGTGCTCGTCATTCCTGTCCGCTATCTTTCGGTAATGAAAGAATACGCCCGATTCACGATCTTGATTCCGGGCGCGGGCAACGCGCGCCAGGAGGAAGAAACGCGTCGGCGGAGGGGCGAGAGGCAGAGGAGTCCGCGAGACGGTTAGGCGTAGGAGGCAACGGGTGGTGTAGGCGGGAAGGG